TCACTCAGTATGTGATGGCTGGCAAATCACTTCTCTGGACCTCAGCTTGTCCTTCCGCACAGTGAATATTATACTGACCTACTTCACACAGATTTTGTGAAGTTTAATTGTTTGGTAAAAATCCTTTAAGCTTTGAAGAAAGGGTTTATGTAACATGTGAAAAGTATCAACTTACCTAGTGGACAGATTTTCATATCTCAATTTGCAAGGAAGGTAGGCTGAGGAATTTATTTACTTCTTTCAGATCCAGGAGGTGCTGAAACATTTAGGTCACTTTTGAGACTAAAAACATATTGAATTATGTACTATTCCTTCTTGAGAAATAAGTACAGGAATGATGGGCCTAATTCTGCTTTCATGGATTCAGAATCTCTGCAACCTCCTCTTATTTCTGATGATCAAGAAGTGATCTCACAAATGAATAGATTATTGTTAGGTGTACCTATGGGTCATCAGTCCATAAACTAAGCCCACAGCCATGCAAAATATTGTAGCTTTCTTCTCCCCAACATCATTACCATGGTATTGATATTTGCTGGGATTACATTCTAGCCTGCATACGCTTAGCTCCAATGGAACGAGACAGGATTTATTTTGAGAAGCTGTAAGAAAAAGTAAGGTTTATGATTCAGAATCTCTTTATCCAGAATGGGAACAAATCAGGAGGGGGTGGGGGGGAATAATTTTGTTCTGGATTTCTTTGGTATGAGAGACTGGGGAAGTGGGTCTTTGCCAGGGTTTTCATCAGCTTCTCCAGAACATGCCCTAGAAGGGCATGTCTACATACAAACTAGGACATACAAACATACAAACTAGGACCACAATATCTTTTAATTCAAATATTTATTTTGGTGCAAGTCTCTCTGTGGACATTCTTATTTCATATGAAAAGTGCCCTATTTCAATTTAATATGTCACTTTAAAAATGCCTTAAGCTGAAAGAAGTTTCCACATACACTTGCCCCAGAATAGCTGAAAGGGGTGAATTAAACTCAATTTAGTTATGCCCCATTTAATGTGTAGAAAAAGTCAAGTTTTCCCTAACAGATATGCCAAGGAGGGATACCTTAGAAGTTAAATCAGTTAACAAGAGCCCTAATAGGAAGACCATCTAAGAGATGGCAGTGCTAGATGATCATATAACTTAAGTGACATACATAAAAATTGAACACTAGGCTCTCAGGGAATAGAGTTCCTTTAAGCCACCCTGCAAGGCAACCTGTTCGCTTACAGCCCTCTAAAGCGAGCTGCAGCTGAGCATGCAGCAAAAAAGGCAGTATGAGCACTTGGGGTACTCACAGGCCTTCCTTAATATCCTCTCCATCTTCATATGCAGAGTCCTTTAAGGAGAATGTGTATGTTAACCATGTGTAGTCTTTTCCTGAATACCCTTATTATATGGAGGGTAAGAGTTTGTTTTTAAGAATGGGGTAGGGTCTGTGCATTAGACAAGAGGATTTCTGGTCAGAACATCTCACTCCACAGTTTAATATTCCCTTGCTTGGATTTATGCACTGAAAACACCTTGACTGGCTTCTTCATGCTAGCTATCCTTGCAGGATTCCTGGGTTTAATATTCCTAGGCTTAAACCTTTGCTACCTATTTTACTAAGGTTGCCAGATTTTCCTCCTGGAAAAAAAATTTACCTCCAAAGTTGCCTCCTCCTTTGATGAGAATCTCCTCACTGGTGTCACAGTCCAGGCCAAAGACATAAGCCTCTATCTCAGAAGCCTTGGCCTAAGGCCACTCCTACTAATCTATTAAGTTCATTTTAACCTGAGTCACAGTGTTTACTCTTCATAATAAACATGCTGAAGGGAGGGTATTGGTCAGCCCAAGATCTAAAGTTAGGCCAATAAACAGCCACCCCTCCACGAAGAAACAAAACACAACCAACCCACCCACCCAAAAAACAATGCAAGCTGTCCACTAGCAGAGTGGGGGCTATCCACTTTATTGCACTGACAACAGCATGTATGATTACCTGCCTTGTGGGCAGGTGGACTATGGGGGCATGCAGTGCAAGCACCTCATGGCCCTCAGAGACAGAGTATGAGCTCTAGAGTCCAGAGTTGCTGAACCGGTAGAGCAAAGGGAGACATAAATGGTCATCTTTCACACTGGAGAGCAGTAAATGGTGGGGTCCCCGTAGTTCTGTACTGGGACCAGTACTAGTCAACATACCTGTATAGCTAAAGTCAGGTGCCCTACAATGCTGTGAATAGATTCTCTCATTCCCATGACACTTGCATTAGCTCTACAGTATTAGTATGTTGCAGTCTTACCCTGTAGATACACTTGTGGACTAAAAAGGAACAGCGCTGGAAGTGGGTGAGGATATGAGACAGATCTAAAACTCCCAATTTATATTTCCACATTGGGCAGCAAGATATACTGCAGACCTTGACCCTGTTCATTTTATTCAGCTGCCTTCTTACTCATTCTCTAACTTGATCAAACACACTCAAATCAGGTAACTGATAATTTTAAAGCAGGATAAATCAATCACATCCTATAGAAAGTTGCCATTCAATAATAAAAGCTAAAATTCTATGGAATGGAAGAAGGAAGTCAGAGAAAACCAGTGTACAGCTGAAGTTTGTCAGCAAAAGTATACTCCAGTGGTGGCCGAACTGTGGATCGTGAGCCACATATGGCTCTTTTACAGTTAAAGTGTGGCTTGCTGGTCCCCCACCCACCCCTTTCCATTCTCCACCTACCAGACTGGGAGGGTTGGGGGGGAGGAGGAGGGGAAGAGAAGAGAGAGAGGTTAGAGAGCTTGGGACCTCTCCCTTGCAGCGGGGTGGAGGGGTAGGGGCTTCTCTCCAGTGGGGACTTCAGGTTTTCAGGCTCACAGGGAACACCTGCTGGGGCTTGGTGCTTCAGCAGGAGAAGGGCTGAAGGCCCAAGCCCCATCAGGGGCTGCCCATGCGGCTGAAGCCCTGCAGGCACACCCTGCCTCTCAAACTTCTTAAGAATGCTGTATGCAGCTCGGACAATCAGTAAGTTTGGCTTCCCCTGGTATGCTCATGTACTATGCAAGCAGTAAGATCAACACTTCTAATCAACGTGAGAAGAGAAAGACTGGTAATCAGAGAGAGGTAATATATACCTGAGTTAGAGTCTGAGGTTTATTTGTCTGAACAAACATTTGAAAACCTACCATGAATGAATATGTTCCTCAGCAGGTTAGGTAACGGAGCATTTTTCAAACAATTAGGTTGGGCAACAGTTAAGGAACAAAGTGAGGAAGAATGAAAAATAGTATCGCTAGCTTGGGTGGTAGATGGTAGCATGTGATGGTGAAAACTATGTACATGTCCCAGAGAAAAAAAGGAGGAAATCAAAACAGCATTTAAGAGTATTTCATTTTGAAAACAAAACAGTTTGTAAAGACTTTATGTACACAAAGCTATTTTTGGATGTATAATATTAGAGTAAGGAAGTTAAGACTGAAGTGCTTTGAACTGACGTTCAAGCATTTAAAATTAATAGGGTGCACTTCATGAATACAACGTGGTACACAAACTGAGACTTCACCCCACCTGTAATTACACATGACAGATACCTGAAAATAGCTACTCTTAAGTCTATTTATTTTGTACTGTAATAAAATAAACTAAAGGGGATGGTATGGAGACAAAACTAAGGGTGTTTATACACAGTACATACTCATTGCTACATTTGCCTTGCTCTATCTTAAATCTTTCACTTTTGGTTCCATACCCACTTAGAGATATTGACCAAGAAGTGTTACAGTTTTACATCCTGAGGGTATTAAAAACAGAACTGAGGATCTGAAAGAGCATCTGAAAATAGGCATGCTTTAGTACTCAAAAACAGATTCAAATATCCACTATGAACATTTAACATGATAATCACTTGTTTACTTAGTAAGAGAAGCCGCCACAGGTACCTAGCCCAAAGTACAATTTAAAAATTCACAACACACTATACTGAAATACAATATTTATATCACCTGCTTACATCATGTTGATACTTTCCTCACTACTTCCTTAATGGAATTGGACATACAGTAAGGTTACTGAAAAATATAATAGTATTCACTGAAGAACTCGATAACTTATGATTTCTGCACTTGAACTAACTCTCAAAGAAGCACCTAGACAGAAGAGATTTGAAATGGACTCTTATACTCCAAACCTCTCATTTTGCTCATTCCTAATTTGCAAAATTATAGCCCTGGATTATTATTCCCCCCACCCTTCAGAATTTTCTTAATTCAAAAAAAAGCACATTTTCTGTCAATCATACAGTGAAAGAATGCTCAATAATAATAATAATATTCAAAACAAAAACCATGAAATTTATTAGAAACTTATTGATAAATCAAAATAATGTAGACAATCATACAATCACCGGATAATTATTTTTCAGATCATTTGCTCAATCCATGGGCAAACGCTACTTTTACTCATAAAAACCAAATAGCAGTAGTTCTTGAGAGACTACCAACTTTAATTTACTATTTTTTTCAGATATACTGTATGACTTTATTTGTAGAAACACCGGAGTTTGACACTTCACAGAAAAGAGAGACAATCCAGCAAACATTTCCGCCATCTGCCCAGTACATCTCCTCCCTTGTTCTTCTGTACTGGTACCTAGAAGAACAGTTCATTTGTTTACTTCATATTTGAAGACAACACTCTTTGTGGCACAGCAGTCAAGTCGGAATGAATATTTGTCAGCGTAAAGCTAAAGAGTGTAGCTGCTGACAAGTAGTATAAGATTATATTCATGGTTTTCAAGTTATTCCGCTCTCCATAAGGAAGAATTATAGAATTTCCACATCTGAGCACGGATAAAAGAGACTTAAATTTCACAAAGTGTAAAACCTGAGGCCATTTTTGGCAGATGTACAACAGAAAATTACTTTAAAACCTTTTAGTCACAACAACTCCCAGTAGTCTCCCAAAAGCCATCAGTAGTTACAACCTACAGTTTGGGAAACAAAGCAATAATGACCAACGTATCATTTGTTTTTACTAATGTATTTATTTATAGCTGTAGGAATAAAGGTGTATTTCATAGTTCACTCATCTGACTGTTTTCCTCCAGTTTGTTAGAAACAGATTTGCAGGTAACAAATACACAAGTTTACAGGTTCCCAAGAAGTCCTATCTTCAAGTGTTCATACAGAATGACAGTGGCTATTTGATAGTGTTTTCAAGAGAAGCAAAAAAAGCTACAAACACTATCTACATAGATTTATATATCAAAGCATTAGCCAAGTGATATACACAGAAGAGCCACAAAAATAATATTCTACAATCTTTCATTTACTCCTGCCTCAGGCAAGAAGAATTAACACAAGTAGAAGTAGGCTGCTTGTTTATTTCAGTTCCACAGACATTTGAATTACAGTGCAATGGTTATAATCAAATTTTCACAACAGAATAGCCTTAAACCAAAATACCAGATCACCTGTACCATGAGCTACCATTTGTTTACTGATAGACAAACGTTAGTGTCAGTTCAAAAAGATGCCTCCTTTGAGATAATACATAAGGCTTTTCTGGTAATAAGGTATTGTCAAAGATTGTTTGTTTATTATAGTCCCATCTTTTAAAATGAAATAGCTTGCTTTTTTATTTTTTGTCTTGGTCTTTTTCTGCATCCAAAAGTGCAGAGCGGATTCCTAACTTCTTAAGCTCTTCCACTAGGTCTCCATTCTGATGCATCTGGAGGAGTATGTCACAGCCACCAACAAATTCACCGTTAAGGTATACTTGAGGGATGGTAGGCCAGTTGGAGTAGTTTTTAATTCCTGTACCAGAAAATAAATTTAAAAAGGTTAAATCTATTGTTTTCAAATATACTGGAATTCATGAAAAGTAAGAGGCATTGCTTTAGCAGCATGCAGATTTTAACACTCTCAGTTCCTTCTCTTTGAGGCTGTGGGTCCTGTGTATTGCAGAAGAGCCATCAGAATTAACCACATTCCATTAAACTTTGTGTTTGTTTTGGCTCCCACCTAAAGCTAGAAATTTGAGACCCGAGTTCAATTCCAACTGTGACTCTTAAACAGAGCTGTGCAAGTATCATGCTTGCTTCCTGGGGATGAGAGAAGATTATTAAAGCAGGGGCTCTCAAACTTTCCAGACGACTGTACCCCTTTCAGGAGTCTGATTTGTCTTGAGTACCCCCAAGTTTCACTTCACTTAAAAGTTACTTGCTTACAAAATCAGACATAAACATAAAAGAAGTGTCACAGCACACTATTACTGAAAAATTGCTTACTTTCTCATTTTTACCATAAAATGAACCCCTGTACTAAAGTGACTTATTTGGCCAACTAAAGAAACAGGAGCCCTTTAAATCAGTGTCCAGTACTGTTTGTATGGGGAATTTAATTACAGTATCCTCTGTGGGATTATTAAAGCTCCTTGTAGGGAATACATTCTTACTGCCTTTATACAGAGCTATTTGCTACTGAAAATTCATTTACTAGACAACTTGTCCTCTAACAGTCCTTGAATTTCTAGTGCTTTATCTTTTACGGGCAGACACTGAAATTCATGGGAGGGGCACAAGATGTAACAAGAAGTTTAGAAACAAATATGTAGTCTGCTACAATTAACCCGTATGAAAAGCCATGCAGACTAAACAATTTTTAAAATTATATACATAAAAGATTAAATAAGACCAGTCAAAAAATTTTCACAACAATACCCTTATGCCAAGCATTATTACTTGTTGATGCTAGGTATAGTTGAAGGATCTCAGGAAGATAAGGAAGAATTATTACAGATGTTGAAAAATACATGTAGTTTGTAGCTTTATACATGCAGTTTGTAACTTTAATATCATACCAAACACTGCAAACCTAACAGTTCACTTTCTTAACTTTAAAGTGCAAAGAACCATATCACTGCATGCTCATCCCTAGTCAGTCATTAACTAGGATCCCAGACAATGCTCTAAGTCTGTGGTTTTCAAACTTTGCAGGCTGTGTACCCTTTTCAAATAATGTAGTTTATCATATCCCCCCCCCCCAGATACGGTCATAATATACCAATGAATAGATTGCCAAGTGTTACTAAATAAAATGTGTTGTCCGCCATTACAGGATTTTCCTTGAATACCCCCTGACAAGAGCTCATGTACCCCAGTTTGAAAACCACTGCTCTAAGTAGATGTTCCCTGCAGTGCAGAGTAACAAAATATTGACTGAAAATTGTTAAGACCAAATAGTGCATAACATGGAGAGATTACATTTTCACACCTTACAGAGGGTAACAATTTATTTTCTAAAAACCAGTTCTTTAATGGCAACAATAAACCAAGGTATCAACTTAATAGCAGACATATCCTTATTCAGAGACTATGTTCTCCAAATCGCAGTCAAACAATGAAGTCAAATTAAGTCTTTTCCACCTAATTTCTATGATTTATCTGGGCCTTAAAAGTTCTCTAGAAATTATAGGAACTTGTGTTTCATAATTACTACAAATTTGACTTTGACAACAAAACAGTGCTATCTAAAGTGTACATTAGGGAAAATTCCTAATGGCTGTTAAAGGTGCCTCTCAGATGATAATGTATCAAGCTAAACAATCTTAGACTGTTTTCAGAGTAGCAACCGTGTTAGTCTGTATTCGCAAAAAGAAAAGGAGTACTTGTGACACCTTAGAGACTAACCAATTTATTTGAGCATAAGCTTTTGTGAGCTACAGCTCACTTCACTGGATGCATTCAGTGGAAAATACAGTGGGGAGATTTATATACACAGAGAACATGAACAATGGGTGTTATCATACACACTGTAAGGAGAGTGATCACTTAAGATGAGCTAATACCAGCAAGGGGGGGGGGGGAGAAAACCTTTTGTAGTGATAATCAAGGTGTGCCATTTCCAGCAGTTGACAAGAATGTCTGAGGAACAGTGGGGGGGGGGGGTGTAAACATGGGGAAATAGTTTTACTTTGTGTAATGGCCCATGGGAGTGGATGGGTCATTACACAAAGTAAAACTATTCCCACTCCTCAGACGTTCTTGTCAGCTGCTGGAAATGGCCCACCTTGATCACCACTACAAAAGGTTTTCTCTCCCCGCCCCCACTGGTATTAGCTCATCTTAAGTGATCACTCTCCTTACAGTGTGTATGGTAACACCCATTGTTTCATGTTCTCTGTGTATATAAAATCTCCCCACTGTATTTTCCACTGAATGCATCCGATGAAGTGAGCTGTAGCTCACGAAAGCCTATGCTCAAATAAATTTGTTAGGCTCTAAGGTGCCACAAGTACTCCTTTTCTTTTTGCAAATCTTAGACTGTTTTCTCCACTTGAAAGAGCATGACCTATCCAAACCATTTACTCATTTAGCTGCTATAATAAACTAATTTCTACCTCAATAAGTGCTTTGTTTTCTGATTTCTAATCAGATTAGCCAATTCTCCTTACTCACTTCCATACTTAAATATATATTGATAAGGAAGTGTTTGAGTTCCAATCATGTGAGATTATGGTTTGCACAGTCAACAATACAGAAAGCTAATCCCACCAATACTAATTCTTTAGAAACTGCATCTTGAGATTTGTTATGGCTAACATTTTAATATGCTTACATTTTAAACAGTCACAGCAAAGCATTTTAAAGTACCATTTAAACTACAAATAGCCCCTTTACCTAGGACATGTTTTATTTTCACTACAGATAAAAGTGTCTAACAAAATAATAATTCTCTCTCTCATATTTGCAGTTCCATCCCCTGAAGTCTGGTGTCCCTCCTTACCACCTACTGTTAGCTGAATTCCCTATTTATTCCCGTCCTTGGGCAAAATTCCCACGGAAAACAAACATGACCTTAAGTGTAATATTAAGAACGTATCAACATTCTCCCCTAAGTGTACAGTGCACCAACTTCTCCAATTACAAAAGGGGAAAACCAAGTAAAATTTCATAACATTGTTTTCAATGCTGCATACCTATGGTCCAATCCCAGAGCTTAAATAAACTCCGTGGATCATTATGCAATGAACTACTGACTTGTTCAAGGTTCATGAAAGAAACCCAGCTGCATGCTATTTTTTACTTATCAAATCATTCTATTAAATCATACGATTAACAAATCATTTTACTTTAGAAATAGAAAGAACTACAACATTTTTATATTTTGAAGTTTAATAAAGACTTCCAGAAAGCACGATCCCAAAATCTCACGTTTACCAATAACTAAAATAAGGTAGTTTGAATATAATGTAAAAGACGGTTTGGTATTAATATTTTACTTTACCATGAGATCTCACTACAGTTAAATCATGACATTGAAAAGCAATTTGAAAATAAAATAAATAAATAAAGACCAGATATAAATCTTTCAACTAAAGGCTAAATGAAAAGAAAGCAGAGGCCCAAATGCAAGAAGTAAAGGGGGAAATGGGGGAGCAGAGAGAGAAATCATCCACCTGATAGATCTAAATATAAAGTATTAAATTCCTATCCTACCAAAAACAAACAAACTTGCTGTAAAGTGTTTATAGTAAGCATTTCTAGTGCCCTACACCTGCAAGTCTGCTTTCAAGGCAAAAATATCCCACTTCACAATCATTATACTTAAGTAACTCCATGAAACCTTAGCACTAAGCTAGGCATGTCCAAAAGGGAAGCAAGCAGAAAGAAGTTTCATGTGATCAGACTAGCAACCTTCTAGAAATGGAGATCCAGGAAAACAGGCACAAATACTTTCACATAAGCTAGCTTCTAGGTTGCTCGGATGGCAGAGTGTTCCCTGAATACTTCTTGTGCATGATATTGGGACCTGAGAAGGCATATTTTATACTTTACCAAAAGAAGGAAAAGTCCTGAGCAGTCAATGCTGATACACTGAACTGATGTACTGTGGTAGGAGTTCTCAAACTTTTTCATTGTCCATCACACCTCAAGACAGAGGTCGTATTGTGGGCCATTTCACATTCCATTCATAATTTCCCTGATAACCTCAACATTCCTGAGACAACTACAATAAGAAAAAGTATTGTTAACACAACATATTTTAGGTGCCTCTTAATGCAATTTAGCATCTCAACAAGGTCAAGAAGCAGTATGTGAACAGCCAGATCTCCAAGGATGACAGTCCAAGAACCACTGTATTCTGGGGGGTGACTAGAAATCTGGTTGTGATGTTGCACCCCATAATGCTTTGTAGAAATATGCTTATGAGTATAAATACGACATAACTGGAATATGTTTTATGCTAGATATGCCATTTAACATATCTCTGCAAAGGTTATGATCTACTGAATATATTCATCTTATTTGTATGTATGTATCATTCCTGTATTTGAAGTTATGAAGATTGGCTATGTATTTGTTTGATTCTAAGTAGCCTCAGTGAAGCATTTGGTCAGCTTCTTGAGAAAGGACTATTCTCAGTAAGTGCCCCAATCAAGAAACACTTAACTGACAATGGATTTTGGGAGACGCCAATCCACATCTGAGCTTTCCTGGGAACATTCAAACTAACATGTAAACAATGGTGTCAACCTGCAAAAAGCTGAATCATTCATAGACATAAAAAGAAAAGGAGTACTTGTGGCACCTTAGAGACTAACCAATTTATTTGAGCATGAGCTTTCGTGAGCCACAGCTCACTTCATCAGATGTGTACCGTGGAAACTGCAGCAGACTTTATATACACACAGAGAATATGAAACAATACCTCCTCCCACCCCACTGTCCTGCTGGTAATAGCTTATCTAAAGTGATCAACAGGTGGGCCATGTCACTTGCCCAGGTGGCTAGAGACCCCATCTTGTGGTTGTGATGTTGCACAAGAGAGAGGATATAAAAGGTCCTGAAAGCCCCTCCATTGTCTTCAGCTGGCTCAAAAGATAGCCTCTCCACCCCAAAGTGATGCCTGAAAGAAACTGGAAAAAAGGACAGAAACTACAGGGGTGTGAGTGATTGCTGGACCCAGACTAGGAGGAAGTCTAGTCTGTAAAAGAAGCTTATTGTAAAATCTGAGGGTGAGATTTACCTGCATTTAGTTTCTTACTGTACTAGAATTAGGCTTGTGTGTTTCATTTTATTTTGCTTGGTAACTTACTTTGTTCTGTCTGTTATTACTTGGAACCACTTAAATCCTACTTTTTATATGTAATAAAATCACTTTTTACTTATTAATTAACCCAGAGCAAGTAATTAATTCCTGGGCGAGCAAACAGCTGTGCAAATCTCTCTATCAGTGTTATAGACGGCAAACAATTTATGAGTTTACTCTGTATAAGCTTTATACAGAGTAAAACAGATTTGGGGTTTGGATCCCATTGGGAACTGGGTGTTGGAGACAGGAGCACTTCTTAAGCTGTTTTCAATTAAGCCTGCAGCTTTTGGGGGATGTGGTTTGGACCTGGGCCTGTGTTTGTAGCAGGCTAGTGTGTCTGGCTCAACAAGGCAAGGTACTGAAGTCCCAAGCTACCAGGGAAAACGGGCTCAGAGGTAGTCCCAGCACATCAGGTGGCAGTCTCAAGGGGGTTTCTGTGACCCAACCCGTCACACTGGTAGACACAGAAAATATCACAAAAATTAAAGTATGGGAAGGATTATTTCTTATGTACCCCCCTCCCCAATTTTCATAGTTCATCTGTGCCTTCTGCTTCACATCCAACAATTGAAATCCCAATTCCCTGAGATATCAGACTGCTGTAAAACAGAAAACAAGATTTTCAAATGAGAAGTTTTAGGAGCAGATAAAATTCTAGGGGCAAGAGAGGGAAAGAGCTGCCACATAAGGGATCAGATAGTGGTTCTAAGAGTCTTCAGTTTTGGTATTCTCTCTCTCTGACAGCAGTCACTACGAAATGCTCTAGTAGAAGGTACAAGAATCCTCATAAAATATACTTATAGAATAACCTAGCCTCAGGGGAAATTTCTGTCAGTTAGTGGGTCCTGAAGCATGATAATTTAGGCTGATTTTTTTTCCAGCTTTACTACTATAACTATTATAGAATTGTAGGACTGGAAGGGACCTTGAGAGGACTTTAGTCCAGTCCCCTACACTCAAGGCAGGACTAAGTATTATCATCCATCTTTGCGATCTGTATAAATGCTTACCATTCCTTAATACAGAAATGGTGGGGAGGAAAATACAAGCCAAAACAGAATGGTCTCTAAACAAAATATTTTCCAAAACTATTGTGATGACGTGTCAATGGCTGTTTAAGATCAGGAGAGCTGCAAAGCAACTGTCAAGCTGTAAAGAGTTTAGAACCAAAAGGAGATGTCAGTCATAACTTCTGAACTGTGCCACCTTTGACCCAAATTTCACCAAACCTAGAGGTCACACTGGAAGTTAGTAAGAGCTTACAGGACTGCAAATAATTTGCATAAAACAGAATAGAGCACATAATGTAATGTAACCCAAATTAAGATTTGAATTCAGTGGGATGAAGATAATGAGCCTTGCCTATCTTGTATGAGCCAACATATTCCTTCACAGATTTATGTTGCTCCAGTCAAGCACATAATAAGCAGTGTTCTGGCAAGCTGATAGTGATTATTTTGACAAATTATTTTCCTACTGAAGCTTATTCAGGAATGTTATAGCTTTGAGTCAATGGACAAAATATTCTTCTATTCCACTGCTACTGGCATACACTGTTTGTTTATAGCCTCCATTTTTCCTTAATGTATGGTACTAGTACCATTATCGGTAACAGTGAGCACAGGTCTAGTTGATTTGAGAATCTTTCTTTCAAAAAAGAAAAAAGATGCAATTGGCAAAGAAAACAAGCCACAGGGGTTGGCTGCTCAGAGCAAGATAAAGAATCATGCCACAGCTTTGTCATCTATGTAGGCCTCACCTTTTAACCTGTGAACACACTTGTGACTCTTAGGTATCATCCCAATTTGAAACCTGGTGAACCAAAGTGGTGGGGGGAGGGTTAATGGCTTTGTGCACATTCTAAGTAAAGAGGTTAAAGTGTTTTAGAAACATTAAGGTTACACTGCCCAAGTGAAGTATGCTAATAAATTTTATTTCTGTTTTACAGATGTGCCACATAGATAGAATTTCATAGGATCTGGCTACTTAACTTCCTTAGGCCCTTTCGATAAACACAGCACAAAACCACACATCTATAGCAGCCATGAACAAAACCCAGGTCTCTGTACTCCCAGTCCCAAGATCACCCTTCCTCTACAAATGACAATTTGAGCTGCTCCCCGGATGGGCTACAACCCGGGCCACTGGGGCGTGACAAGGCGGGACGCCGGCTCACACAGACACGATACCATCCCCTTGCGACTTTCTCGCTCAAAGCTGGCACTTCGGGCCTGGTTTTTCAGCGCTGCTGAGCACCTAGAGCGCCAGTAACGTCAGGGAGAGCTGCTGGTGCTCAGCGCCCATGGAGAAAAGCAAGCCCCTACGGGGTCCCCTTTTGGGGGTGTACGTGGAAGGCTTCTGCCTTCCCTCCACCGCCCGCAACAGGGTCCCGTCCAGCGTGTGTCGGAGGGGGGCGGGTCTGCCTACCCACAGCCCCCTAAGGCTACCCGGGCGCTAACCTTGCCGGAGGTCGGCGTCCTGCAGCACGTCGTAGGCCTGGAAGTCCTGCACCCCGTGCAGGCGCAGGATCTGCACCACGGCGTTGCTGAAGCCGCACAGGGGCTGGGCCGGGTTGCCCTTCATGAACACGACCACGGGGTGCGCCCGCACCAGCCGCTCCACCGACTCCCGCGACCCTGGGCCGCCGTCCCCGGCCGCGGCCTGGCTGAGGGGCCGCGCGCCCCATCGCAGCGGGGCACGACGCAGCAGCGAGGCCGCGCGCAGCCAGCACAAAGAACCGCTCATCGCGGCCTTCCCTAACGGCAGCTTCCCACGCCGAGCGACACAGTCACGCAATCCACCTCCAGTCCGTTCCTCCTCCCCATTGGTAGAGGCGACAAAACGTCACGGATAGCCTTAACCAAAGATAGGCAGAAATACCTGTCAATCCACATCCGTTGCCAATAAAGCGCATCAGAGACTTTTTCTGGCCCGTCCACCAGTTCACGGCGCTTCCTCCCTATTGGCGGAGCCTGGGATCATACAGCGGGCCTTGAGTGGATATAAATACTTGTCAATCGACCCGAACAACCAATAATGCGCCGCACATCCGGTGGACCCTCCCACTGAATTATTAATCCGGCCCCTTCTGAATGCTTTGGCTGTGCTAGCCGCGAAGGGCGAGGCCAGTCAGGGTCCCGGTACGGAGAGGGGGCGGGTAACTTTTGGCGGGTTCCGTTTCCGGCGTGGGGAGCGCTGGGGCGGTGTTGTGGGGGCATCTCGGAGGTACAGCGCGGTGCGGCTCGCGGTGTCTGCGGCGGGGGTGGGGACCCAGGTGCGGGGCGGCGGCGCTGAGGAGCCCTCAGCCGGCGGGGATTTTAGGCGCGGTGGAGACCGTTGTGGTATCTGGGGCTCGGCGTCCGTGGGGTCTCCCGGCCCCACGGCTCCTAGCGCGGGGCTGCGCTCCCCGAGCCGCTTCTCTCGGCCTAGAGCGGTGCCGGAGCACAGCGGGCCTCGCTGGGTGGGGCCGCGCCCTGCCCGGGTCCGGGGTCGGTTTGCCCCGCGCGGGGCTCGGCCGCCTGTGGCTCTGGCGGGCAGGTGTGGGCGGGCCGCGCGTGACGGCCGAGGCCTAGTGGGGAAGCGGGTTGGTCACCGTCCCCCAGGCGTGCAAGGCCTGTCTGGCTGCCCCGGGGGCCGGGTGGCTCTGTCCCATCTGGCTCGGTAACATCGCGTCTCCCCGAGCGCCCTCGAGACCCACCGGCAGAATCAGCGGGGCCGGCCTCGCGGAGACAAGGCTCCGCCCGCCGCTGTGGTGCGTAAAGGAGCCAAGCGGGGTGGGAAGAGCTTTTAACCAGCCCCCGCTGGTCGCTGTCGAGCTCTCGCTACTCGCTGTGAGCAGGGCTCCTGGAGTAAAGGGTGTCATTCAAGGCTGGGTGGGGGAAGGGGTGGGAACCTGGGGAAGGGACACAAGGTGCCTCTTTCTGTAGTAGCAGTTAAAAGCTGAGTCTTAGGGTAAAATTTTGAAGTCACTCAAGTCCCTGCTTTTACAAATGATGTGGGCACTTAAGTGCCTAGATTCCTGTTGACCTTTGGCTCCACGGTGTTTGTCACTTTTTTGAAAACTTTGCCCAGGATTTTCTGAGTTTCCAGTGATGGGTCTGTGGTCTTGGAGCTGCCCTTGGTTGGTTGTACTCGGGGCTTACCAGGCTTGCAGAGAGAGCATCTGTCTGAGGAAGCCGAGGCATGCCTGTAAGAGTAATAGCAGAACCATGTGCAATATTCCTCTCACAGTCCTAATTCTGTTGCCACGGAGATAATGACTTATTCCATGTCATTATCCATCTACCAACAGTAAGAGTAACTTTGCAGTCTGATATTGTTTAGCAAATACTGATTTTTGCTGAACACTAAAAACTGCTATAAACTTTCAGTGGGTTCCTTCAAACCTGTTCTTACCAATATACTCACGTATATTTGGAGTTATGTGCAGGAACTTGGTTTGTGATAGTTATTGGTGGTCTTGCATAACAAGAATCTTTTGAAATAATACTTAGCTTTATATAATGCTTCTTTAGTTAAAAAAAACCCCACTGAATAAACTTGAAACAGAACAAGATCCTTTGGCTGTGTAGCGTAAACTGTATTATCCTAGGTTTCAGAGGAACAGCCGTGTTAGTCTGTATTCGCAAAAAGAAAAGGAGGACTTGTGGACTTCATCAGATGTAAGTGATCTGATGAAGTACTTGAGCTGTAGCTCACGAAAGCTCATGCTCAAATAAATTGGTTAGTCTCTAAGGTGCCACAAGTCCTCCTTTTCTTTTTTTGTATTATCCTATACACTCGTCCATTCCATAAAATAGGTATCAATTAATGGCAAAAGGGATCCTTGCTTTTACGTCTGTTGACAGTTTCACCAAAACAGTCATGACTGTTTTGGTGAAATTGTCTTTTTATTCAACTGTAATCTTCCTAAAATTCAAACTAATTAATAAACCTTTCTGTTTATTTTCCAGGTTAGTGATTCAAATCACCTACTCTGAAGAAATCTGAATGTGGCTTCAGTGGGAATTTTAAGGAAATTTAATGCACTCCTAATGTTGCAGATGTTCCTGCTGCGGAAGCCAATCTCATACCATTCTGAAGACCTGTAATATATGATAAAAATCAGTAATGAAGTTGCAGTGCTTATACAAGTCCCTCTGATTTGTTCTTGTAATCTGAATTGGATTGTCTATTATAATGGGTACCTAGTTTCTAAATTGATTTGTAACACACTTCTAGTGAAATACTTAAGCTCTAAAATTCTTGCACTGTAGATATTACTCACGTTACATAATACAACATTATTCAGTACCCCACAGCTGATCCTTATGTAACTCATGTTGGCTTCATTAGGTAAAAACTAGCTATACACAATCCCTGAATAATTAAAACTATTAGTAAACACTTGTGAAATATGCTAAGACTATGTGTAATCACTGATTTGCCTGTTTCCTTTTTTAATTGAAAGAATACAAATGCTTTCTGCAACTCATCACACAACTGTCACTAGTAGTTAAAGGCTAGCATCAATTCTAGTATTTCAGAGCACAAGTGAGATTAGGAAGCTCATTTACACTTCATTTTGATTAACTTCTCCTATTGGAGTAACAAGTTGAAGTGGCTTGAGAGCGGGCTCTGGGGTGGGGCCAGAAATGAGAAGTTCAGGGGGTTGGGGAAACAGGAGGGGGTCAGGGTGCAGGCTCCAGGTGGTGCTTACATCAAGCAGCTCCCAGAAGCAGTGGCATGTCCCCGCTCCAGCTCCTATGCGGAGGCATGTCCAGGTGGCTCTGCACAATGCCCTGTCCGCAGGAGCTGCCCCTGCAGCTCCTATTGGCCACAGTTCCTGGCCAATGGGAGCTGCGGGGGCAGCGTGGTTGCCCCTAAGTGTAGGAGCTGGAGGGGGGACATGCCACTGATTCTGGGAGCCACTTCTTGGTGGGAGCTTGAGGGGTGGATTAAAACGTCTGGAGGGCTGGATGCAGCCCCTGAGCCGTAGTTTGCCCACCCCTGTCTTAAGGGCAGTAGTTGTCCTTTATGGTGGTTACATAGCGCCTAGCACAATAGCATTATGACCTGGCTAAAGCTGCTAGGTGCTGTTACAGTATAAATGATAACTCTAAACTAGATGCTAATAAAAACAATAGGAAAAATGATCTAAATATTAAATGTTTCATGTAATTCTAATAATTCTTTGTCTAGTCCTGTTTTTAGACACTCATGAGCACTAAAATGGCTTTTACAGCCCCCCCCCCTTTTTTTGGCATTCATTCTTAACAAGATGTCTTTCTACACCTGGCCTACTAAAATTAATTACAGTGGGGTGTCTTCTTTTGGGGAGGAGTTCAGTAGAGGCATACAGAAGAATTGCAGCATGCTAGTTACCAAAGAAAACGGAGAGTTCCAAAACCAGCAAACAAGGTATGGCTATGTGGCTTCTGAATGTTAGGTTTTGAAGAACAAGAAACGTCAAAGTAACTAGACCACCCATAGATTGTCTGACTCTAAATGGTGTCAAGGTATAATGTGCTGCACATCATTAACTTTTTTTGCTTTGTAAAGCAGAGCGCCCTACTAAAGCTGTGTAAGCAATGACGAGGACATTTTGAGTGCTTGTGTGGTCTCTGCAGAAGAAGTTGGATGGAATTTTTGAGTCTGGTTGTCAGCAGAAGCAAACCTATCTAGGGCCAAATTGGCATCTGTGCTCCATGCTAAACAGAAAAATCTCCAGCTCTGACTATTATGAGACCAGTTGGTATTGGGGGAAGTCCCAGATGACTGGAAAAAGGCTAATGTAGTGCCCATCTTTAAAAAAGGGAAGGAGGATGATCCTGGGAACTACAGGCCAGTCAGCCTCACCTCAGTTCCTGGAAAAATCATGGAGCAGGTCCTCAAGGAATCAATCCTGAAGCAGTTACATGAGAGGAAAGTGATCAGGAACAGTCAGCATGGATTCACCAAGGGAAGGTCATGCCTGACTAATCTAATTGCCTTCTATGATGAGATTACTGGTTCTGTGGATGAAGGGAAAGCAGTGGATGTATTGTTTCTTGACTTTAGCAAAGCTTTTGACACTGTATCCCACAGTATTCTTGTCAGCAAGTTAAAGAAGTACGGGCTGGATGAATGCACTATAAGGTGGGTAGAAAGTTGGCTAGATTGTCGGGCTCAATGGGTAGTGATCAATGGCTCCATGTCTACTTGCAGCCGGTGTCAAGTGGAGTGCCCCAGGGGTCGGTCCTGGGGCCGGTTTTGTTCAATATCTTCATAAATGATCTGGAGGATGGTGTGGATTGCACTCTCAGCAAATTTGCGGATGATACTAAACTGGGAGAAGTGGTAGATATGCTGGAGGGCAGGGATAGGATACAGAGGGACCTAGACAAATTGGAGGGTTGGGCCAAAAGAAATCTGATGAGGTTCAATACGGATAAGTGCAGGGTCCTGCACTTAGGACGGAAGAACCCAATGCACAGCTACAGAGTAGGGACTGAATGGCTAGGCAGCAGTTCTGCGGAAAAGGACCTAGGGGTGACAGTGGACGAGAAGCTGGATATGAGTCAGCAGTGTGCCCTTGTTGCCAAGAAGGCCAATGGCATTTTGGAATGTATAAGTAGGGGCATAGCGAGCAGATCGAGGGACATGATCGTTCCCCTCTATTCGACATTGGTGAGGCCTCATCTGGAGTACTGTGTCCAGTTTTGGGCCCCACACTACAAGAAGGATGTGGATAAATTGGAGCGAGTCCAGCGAAGGGCAACAAAAATGATTAGGGGCCTGGAACACATGACTTATGAGGAGAGGCTGAGGGAACTGGGATTGTTTCTTCTGCAGAAGAGAAGGAGGAGAGGGGATTTGATAGCTGCTTTCAACTACCTGAGAGGTGGTTCCAGAGAGGATGGTTCTAGACTATTCTCAGTGGTAGAAGAGGACAGGACAAGGAGTAATGGTCTCAGGTTGCAGTGGGGGAGGTTTAGGTTGGATATTAGGAAAAACTTCTTCACTAGGAGGGTGGTGAAACACTGGAATGCATTTCCTAGGGAGGTTTTAAGGTCAGGCTTGACAAAGCCCTGGCTGGGATGATTTAATTGGGGATTGGTCCTGCTTTGAGCAGGGGGTTGGACTAGATAACCTCCTAAGGTCCCTTCCAACCCTGATATTCTATGATTCTACCTCTTATACCATGTAGGTAGACAATCTAGAGAGCTACTAGTCTCTGTAGTCAAGATGGTGATTAGCTTCTAATATAAAATGAAAGTGGGAGCCCCTCCCTTCAGCTAATACTGCATATGGGATTTCTCACTGAGCTCCTCTTACAGGGAATGGCTTTTTCTGGATCTTGAGCTCTCCCAGTCTGTGAGAGGCTGAGCCTGTACCTCTCTTGTAAGGCCTTGGGGCTTGCCCATGCTTCTGTCCTAGAGCCAGATTCTCTTCCTCAAGTGGCACAAACAGTGATATAATAGTGTAATCTTAGTGATCTTTCTTTCCTTTCAGAGTCCTGGCTTTGCAGAACTTTGCTCCTCGAATTGGACCAGCTGCATAGCCTCTCTCTGTTCCACTTCTCCATCATCATGGAGCAGGAAGGCAGCTAAGAGGAGCTGTGCTATGATTACTCCCAGCCCACAGACCCTTGCTTTCCAATGGGTAGGGGAATCGGAGTCTGGAGGGCTTGTGGGGAAGCTCTGCTTCCCCACACATCAGCTTAATCTCCTCTGGAGACATCTGATAAGACCACTCAGCCCATTCTGCTCTTGTGACTTTAGCAAACCAGGATGTACTTGCCCATCAATTATTCTTTAAGGTGTATGGCCAAAAATCCCATTGGACCAAGCTGCTTCTAAAGAGGTAAACGCTCCGGTGTTGCATCCTATGCTCTTTGGTGGATAATTGAGTCACTCGGTGAGCAATGTGGCATCCTTTCTGACTCCCTCCTAAGTAGAAGATCTGTCCTTTCATAGTGATGTTTCCTTGCACTTCTCCAGTTATATGTTGGGTGAGAAGGGCCAAAGCTGCAGTCTCACCACCATCCCATCCACCTGGCCTAAAGCTCTCCAGATCTTCATCTCCTTCCTTGAACTCTTAACTCCCCCAAAGAAGAAGGGAAGCCAGAAAAGCAGAAGAATCCTTTCACTGAACAGATTTGAAACTAGCAGGAGAAAGGTAGTGGACACCACCAAGAGATAACTAATCAAGCTATTTCTCCTTAAGACAGATGCCCTATACCTCTTTCTGTGCTTCAATTGTCAAAGTTTGACTCAGACTCACAATTTATCAGACCACTCTGTTTTATTAGCAAAGCTGCTCTAATACATTTAGAAGTGAGCCCCCCGAGTGGGGCTTGTCTCTTAATTTACACAGTTTTTTGGAGAAAAGTTACAGACAAAAAAGAAAAATTTGTCACCACCCTTCGAGATCCCTGAGACCAGTCACATATCTTAACAATCTCCTTTAACAGCTTCCAGTTAACTTAACTAATTGCCCTTCACACCTTCCATTCTGATACCTGCTTCTTAGACGTGCTGGCTCTATCTTAATTGCTTCTCCATTCAAAAGCTAACTGTCCCTACATGTGCTCCCTCAGATACCTTGTAACATGTTTTGGCATGCCCTCTCATATACAATGTATCCAGCATGTCCCCTTATACAATGGTATACTTCCACAATCCCCCCCTTTTGGTCAAGGCTACGCCCATGACCAATGACTTACTGGATTCCATGCATCAATCGTTCTTTTTCATTACTTTCACTGGTGACATTTAACAACATTAGATTAGCACTCTGGTTAGGGGTAACCTGATGGATGGTGTCTCTTGTGCAGTTTTGGATACAACAAGAAATCAATTGAAAACACATAAAGATTATTAGAATTCCAAATAGGATAGTCAGGATTCCTTGAAACAACCAGTTTCCCAGACTAGAGAAATTGAATAAGTTACTTATCTTTTTCCACAAGGAACTTGGTTCTTCGTGGGGAAGGTATGCAATTTGCTCCAGATAGCTAGCACGATTTATTACCTGATAATACTAATGAGGTAATAAATCGTATGTATACACAGCATTCTGCTCCAATTAGAGGACAGGTCCCTCCTTTGGCTGCCAGTATTATATCTAATGCCCAACGGTTTTGGAGGGCCACTTGTCGGACCGCTCCTGCTTCTTTGGCTAGAGCTTTTAAGCTCTCTCCTGTTTCATTGGCCATGATCTCAACCACCGCTTGTAACCTTAAAAGCCTTTTGCGTGGTGGATTACCCCCCCTACTGGGACTAAAGAAATGCCAACAGCTTCTTCCCAAGTTAGGGGGCTTATGTTATCCACATACCATTTAGCATCTGGCAAGTCCCTCCTTTTTCGCCTGAAATTACGGAGGCGATTTCGTGGGAGGGATTGAAGCACCTGGAATTGTGGGAAAAGCTGAGCAGGATAACAGATACCTGACCAATTTGCTGGTAACACAGTGTAAGCATTTTCCCCACAAACCCAATGATGTCCATTAAAGCTGGGAAGGGTTGACTGCAACCCTTTGACATGTAAGAATTTACGAAGGAGGAATAGTATCCCCCAAAGGGCACAGGATGACTTTCACTGGGAGAAGAGGTAGCATTCACATGACATTTGTAGATGGTGCTGTTTTTTCTCAGGGAGGCTGTAGGGGGAGCAAGAGATTGAATCTTTGGTTTGGTCCCAGGTTGAGAGGAAGCTTATCTTTCCATACCCGGTTCGCCATTCTCCAACCTTGTTTGAATAGTCCCATACACCATGGGACACGATGTAGTGGAGACAGCTGCTCCTCCCTAGATTCAGCCCTGTCCCATTATACACCCAGCACCAGTGGCCCTTTCCTTTCACCACACTTATAAGTTTAGGAACATATGTTTTTCCCAGCCCCCAAGTGTCATTCTCCTTCCATGTCCTTTTAAGCGGATAGGGTTCTCCAGCAAGCTCTGAGGAATTCAAAGGGATTGCCATAGTGGGGATACTAGCTTGTGAGTGAGCTGGGATGTGGCTGCAGACCCAGCAATTAGAAATATTCAGGATCTGGGCTATCTGCACCTGTTGTTGGATGAAAGAATTGTCACTGTCACTCTGGATTCCCCAGACCCTCAGGACACAGTAGCTGAGGATTAAGCTTCTCATAGGACACATGTTGGAAGCAGGACCCTTTCTGGTTCCGACAACCCCTTTCGAGGGAACCGCAGTCACGGTTTTACGTCCACCAGGCAGCAGGCGCTAGGCTCACTACTGCTTCTTGTTTTTTGGGTCCTGCTGTCTGCTTACCCTCTGCTTCTGGCAACCCTTACGAGAGTGCAGATTGTAAGGTATTGCAGGCTGTTCCTCTGTCTTCTGGGGTTGAAGCTGGTTCTGCGTGGTCTTGCAGAGGTGCTTGGTCCCCTTGAGGTGGCGCTGGCTTACACTGTGAGGCGTGGATCCATGCAGCGATGCCGGATAATTTCACTGCTGTCTGGGTGGTGAGCAGTACCTGGTATGGACCCTTCCACTGGGGTTCCAAGGCATGCTTCCGAAGGTGGTGCCGCAGGTAGACCCAATCACCAGGCTCCAGAGTGTGACAGGCAGCAGAGATGGGTTCCGTCGGCCAAGCTGCTCGCACCTGCGAATGGAAGGAGCTCACAGCTTGCATTAACCCTTTGCAGTACTGGAGGAGCGTGCTGTGAGTTAGGTTTAGGTCTGGGGCTGGGGTAATAGTAGCCATTGTTCGCATAGGGTGTCCCATGATGATTTCAAATGGACTCAGTTTGTGTCTCTGGGATGGGGATGACCGAATTTCCATAAGGGCCAGTGGTAAAGCAGCTGGCCAGTTTAACCCTGTGGAACTACAGATTTTTGCCAGCTTATTTTTAAGCACACCATTTCGCCTTTCAACTGCCCCTGCACTCTGTGGATGGTAAGGGCAGTGCAACAGGTGGGTGACATGTAATACCTGGTTTAGATGTTGAACAATTTTTCCAGTAAAATGTGTTCCCTGGTCGCTAGACAAAGTGGCAGGAATTCCCTTGGTAGGGATAATGTGGTTTAACAGACATTTTGCAACGGACAATGAATCAGCTTTGCGACAGGGAAAGGCTTCAATCCAACCCGAAAACAGACATAACTAAAATGAATTCATATTTCTGACACTTTGGCATTTGTACAAAATCAAGTTGCCAGTGTAGGAAAGGTGCTTGAGGCAAACCCTTGTGTTACTTTTACAGATTTGCCTACATTGTGGCTTTGACAAGTAACACAAGCGGCACAGTGGCGGGTTGCAAAGGAGCTGAAAGGGGGAGCCCACCACCCCGCCTTACTCATAGCAGAGACCATCCCCTCCTTGCCGACATGCGAAACACCATGTAGCAGGGCGGCTAGAGATGGGTAGAGTGAGAGGGGGCCTACAAAGGTACCGGTGGGCGATCGCCAAAGGGAATCAGAATGCAAAGAGCAACCCAAAACGCTCCAGGAGTCTTTCTCTGTTTCTGGGGCAGAATCCTGGAGCTGAGCGAGATGAGACAGGGATGGTGGCGTTACAGAGACAGAGAGGGGACCAAGAAACGCTTCTGGTGAAGGTTTTATAGTGGCCGCATGTTTTACAGCAGCATCAGCAAGTGCATTACCTTTTGCCACCTCGGTGTGTGCCGCTGAGTGGCCAGTACACTTAACAATTGCCAAGGCAGATGGTAGTAAAACTGCATACAGGAGGGCGGCAATGTAGGGGCCATTCTTGATAGGGGTACCAGTAGAGGTAAGAAAACCTCAAGCCTGCCAGAGGGTGCCAAAGTCATGCACAACCCCAAAGGCATACCGAGAATCAGTAAAAATAGTGGCAGAGAGCCCCTCGGCTAGAAAGCAGGCACGGGTTAGAGCAATCAGTTCAGTCACCTGGGCAGAGGTCACAGAGGGTAAGGGTGCAGCTTCTATGGTCTCAGAGAGAGAGACCACAGCGTACCCTGCAAGAAGGTGGCCTTGGTCATTTCTATAACGGGACCCATCAGTGAATAATACCAGATCAGAGTTAGGGAGAGGTACATCTGAAAGGTCGGGGCGCGGGACAGTGATAGCGGAGACAGTTGCAAGGCAGTCATGGGGTTCACCATCACTAGGTAAAGGAAGGAGGGTAGCAGGGTTTAACCGGGAGCAGCGCTTAATAGTGATATGTGAGGCTGAAAGCAGCAAAAGTTCATACCTAGTGAGGCGAGCACAGGAGAGGTGAGCAGTGTTGCGTTGCAGAAGGAGAGTTTCCACAGAATGGGGAACCATGAGAGTGAGAGGAGAGCGGAGGACAAGGGACTCAGACATCTCGACCAGGCGCGCTGCAGCAGCTACAGCGTGTAGGCAAGGGGGTAAACCCTGGGCTACAGGGTCCAAGGTTGCAGAAAAATAAGCCACCGGGCAATTTCTGTCACCGTGCTCCTGAGTAAGAACCCCGAGGGCACAAGCAGATTGTTCGTGACAGAAAAGGGTAAAAGGCTTGTCATAGGTTACCCTAAGGCAGGGGCAGAGGCTAAATTCTGCTTAAGGGAGATGAAAGCAGCATTTGCTTCAAGTGGCCATGGCATGGGGTTAGGTACAGAGGATTGAGTGAGTTCTTGGAGTGGTTTAGCCAGAGAAGCATATTGGGGAATCCATTGCCTACAGAACCCTGTCATGCCTAAGAATTTTCTGATCTGGCGTGGAGAGCAAGGCTGGGGAAAGCTAAGGATGGCTGGATAGAGTGTACGGGAGCCCTGGGAGAGAAGGAAGCCTAGGTATGTGACAGAGGTTTTGCAGAGCTGCGATTTTGTGCGAGAAGCCTTATGACCCTTGTTTGCTAAAGCTGTGAGAAGTGTCAGTGAATCAGTTTCTGAGGCAGACAGAGAGGGGGAGCACAGGAGTAAGTCGTCCACATATTGGATCACTGTGGATCCTGATGGGAAAACCAGATCAGCGAGATCCCTGGCTAGGGCTTGAGAAAAATAGGATGGACTCTCTGTATACCCTTGGGGAAGGGCAGTCCATGTATATTGCTGACCCTTGTAGGAGAAGGCAAAGAGATACTGGGATTCAGAGTGAACTGGGACAGAGAAGAAAGTGGAGCACAAATCTACAACAGTAAAGTGGGTTGCATTTGGAGGAATAGATGCTAGTATTGTAGCAGGGTTAGGAACCACTGGAAAAGAAGGTATGACAATACGGTTAATAGCTCGAAGGTCTTGAACAAATCGCCACGATTTGCCATCAGCCTTTTGAACTGGGAGGATAGGGGTGTTACAGGGGCTGGAACAAGGGACAATAATTCCTTGTTCTTTTAATGCAGATATAACTGGAGCAATCCCAGCCTCTGCCTCAGGATTCAAAGGATACTGAGACAGGTGAGGCAGAGGTTTGGAATTGTCTACAGTAATCCGAACTGGGTCAGTATTTAATCGGCCCACTTCAGATGGGTGAGATGGCCATAGGGAGGAAGGAACCTGAGAGATTAGGTGCTCTAGGGATGGAGTTAAGGGACAGCAAGGGACCGGAGTGGAGAGGGAAGTTTCAGACAGCAGGGAGGCTACAGAATCACATAAGGAAGACTGAGGGATTTGCAGATAGACACCATCTGGGGAGCAGTAAATAGAACAGCCAAGTTTGCATAGCAAGTCCCGTCCCAGAAGGTTTGCAGGGGTGGAATCAGAGAGGAGGAATGCATGCTCCTCAGAGGGGGTACCGACCTGAACAGACAAAGGTTTTGAGAGGGGAAAAGAGGTAGGGATCCCTGTAATGCCAACAGCAGACACAGATTTTCCAGATCAGGGAACCTCAGGCAAAAGTCAGTGGTGTGGATTGTAGAAAGAGAAGCTCCAGTATCAATAAGGAAAGGGAGAGTGAGATCATTTACAGTCAGGACACATTCTCCAGTAGGGGACAGAGGTAATAAGGGAGCTAAAACTTTGTGAGGTTCCCCAGCATCCCGTCATTGTTGGGGTGAAAAGTAGGGTTGGGGATCAGCTGGAGGAACCAGCGGGGGGTTCACGTGATTTCCCATACAATTATTAGGTCATCTTGGACACTCTTTTTTCCAGTGTCCAGGCTGTTTACAGTAGTTACAAACCCCAGTTAATCCAGCCCCCCGCCCCCTTCCTCAACCCCGTCCCTGTCCCCGGTGTGGTCTGCTTAGTCCTGAATAATGCTGTATCTGCAGAGCCATTAACTTTTGGGAGGACTGTTCCTCCTTTCCTTTTAAAGTGCGGTGGCAATGCTCTGCTACTGCCAGCAATTTGTCCATGGTTTCAGTCTCCCATCCCACACTTATTCGTTTTAACATGCTGCCTGTGGCAGGGAGAAGACCATCAACAAATGCATGTGCCAAGGCCCCCTGCCCATTTACATCGGGCTCTTGTATTCCCGAATGTTGTAGGAAAATATCAGTTAGCCGGGACCTATAGTCGCCTGGGCTTTCTCCTTGCCCTTGCTTACAGCAATGTATTGCTGTCCAGTTTGTTTTAGGAGACCACACTTTGGGAATGGCTTGATGCAGGCGCTTCCAAAGAGCCATACACCGGTCTCTGTATGCCGAATCTGGGCCAGTACTTTTTATGTGCCTGAGCTGGCCAGTCTGTGGCAGCCAACCATTTTTCATAATAACTGGCAGGAGCTAACAATTTACACAGTTGGAGGAGATCTGTCTCAGAGGGTTCATAGGTTTCACAGATTAACAGAAACTCCTCAGCAAATTTGACAGAGTTTTCCTGTGGTTTGGGAAAACTTTTATCTATAGATAAAAGTTCCGTACGAGTCCAGGGCTTATAATCCCATATGGACTCACTTTCTCCCATCTTAAGGACTCGTAAGGGTGCCACAACAGTTTGATCAGAGTCTCTCATTAACCTCCCATCAGGTTCTCTTTTCCAAGAAGAGATGTCAAGAGAATCTTTGCAGTCTGCTTTGGATTTCTTCTTCATAATATTTTGCAGAGCTGCGAGGCCCATGAGGGTATCTTCTTCACTTTCATTATCTGTAGTCACTGAAGATTTTTCCTTTTCTGATTTCTTATTTGCGCAGGAGTATGGTGGGGGTCGGGTTTGATCTGGATCATTGCACAGAACTGGGCAAAGGGGAGCACTCGGACTAGTGGTGGGAGAGACTGCATCCAATTGAACTGTTAGTTTTTTGATAGAATTTTTAAGAGAGGTGAGTTTTGACTCAGTCCATCTACGATTTGCCTCTTCCCACCACTGCATGAAGCAGTCTACTTCTCCTCTCTCCAATTTGGTTTTTGGGAGGACGAGTTTGCTTTTTAAAGCATCCACTCGATCCTTGTCCCAAGAACCTAACAGTGGCCCCTGTAATTTGGGGTTCTCTAGAGCTAATTTGGACCATTTTTCAAGAAACCTACAAGAGTCCGGACCCCTCCTAAAATACATAAAATAAGCTGGAGTTCCCTTAGGGAACTGTTCTACCTTAGACTTCTGATTACCCATCCAGAAGGACTTCACACAGCACTCACACAAGAAAGAAATTCGGGCTCAGCAGAGCGGTACCCGGTGCAACACACAGAAAGGAGCCCACAGGCTACTGCCTCAACTGCCCTTGCTTTCACATCAGGGGTTATACCCAAGGCGTGGTGTGGCTGCAGCTGTGCAGATTCCACTTATTCAGACCGTGGGGATGGGGACCCCTTGGTCAGCCAGTCTCCGGACAGAGATGGCTCCCAGATTCACACACACACCACGGGGAAGATGGATTGACACAAAGACAAGACAGTCCTCAAACCGGTTAAAGCACAAAAATAATAATTACCTGAGACGTCTGATTCCAGAAGCTGGATCCAAAGACCCCTACCCGAACAGAGTGGGAACCAACAAGTTCAATGGCGTAGACTGCGCTGCTGCTTTGTGCCTTTCTGTCTTGTGGAGGATCGCTTGGACTAAGCGTCCAGGCGCCGGCTGCCACGATCGTCCTGCAAGGCAGTCAGGGATCACACAGCCTCAGTGAAGCCACTTGCCATCTCGGTGGGACCTCCAAATTGTCAAAGTTTGACTCAGACTCACAATTTATGTCCTTTCTGTGTGAAGAGTAAGAAAGTAGAGATCTTCTCTCCCACCCCTGGTATGGTTTCAGACTTCCCATACACATATAACAAAATATGTATCTGCCTTACAAAAACTTGCCACAAGCCTGTTCAATAAAATGAGCTGAGAGGGCCATGTGACCTTGCCTATTTCAAAGATTCTTACCTACTGCCCAGAGAGGTATAAATATGCATAGAGTGATGCATTTTCATTTTTATTTCATTCCTATTTATTTATAATACTTAGCATAGATGTGAAGCTGTCATGTGAGTGGCACATGCCATGGCAGGATATGAAGGGGTGATGGAGTTAGGGATACTTCTCGAGCCCTTTCTTTGAATTTCCTGACTTCAATTTTGGATATATATTTTTACCCTAATTTAAACATTTTTAGGCTTTCAAACATCTTTTACAATTGCAGTATTTTTCAATCAAGTCATTTTTATTCTGTCTTTAGGTTTTTGTCTGGTAGTATAAACCTATCCATTGACTGCATGAACTGCTCAAGTTCTTCATACAGGTCACCAGAGCCACTTTGTACTACAGTGGTGAGAGGGTTTTTTTGTTTGTTTGTTTTTTTTAATATGGTGGCAAGAAGGAGGATGCCTTGTTAAACCTTAAACTTATCCAATCTGCATCACTTGCTTTTGCCTTCAAATCTGTAGTTCATCGTGAATCTGGGCACTGTTAAAAAAGTTCAGCTGTGAAAGTATATGCAATCTATTGATGGTCTAGCAATAATATTGTTGGTGACGCTGCTGTAAAAAGACTTGTTACGTGTCAGGTGTCCTTTCTGTAAAAATATAAACTTGCAACCTCTTCAACACATATGTAATATATTTATTGTGGTGCTACGGTGAGACACTGAACCAGGAAACTAGAGAATAGTTTTTCAACTGAGCCTCAAATTAGAATTTGTCAAAATGATACTGATGTTAAAGGTTGGGTGGGTAGTGCTGCCTATTAAGGTTGCCCAACACTTTCCATTATAAAAACCCTATTTTCTGTTTACCAAACTTTTTAACCAGTTGGAATGAAATTTTCTGTGCCAGCAATCTGCCTCAAGCTGAATTGTTTTGGACAGTTTCAGCCAAAACATCACAAGGATTTTCAAGAATGAGGTTAGGGACAAATATGTTGTTTTGCTCATGTTTAAAAATTCTGGTGACCTTTTCTTTAGAATGCTGTAATACCCTTGTGCCTTGGAATATGGACTTGAAATTTGGCAAGGGAAGTGCCTTTTATTGTCTTTCTGAAAATTCACTCAGATTTGGCCAAGGTTTGAGCCTTTGAAAAAATGCAGTTTGTACATGCTTAATACAGACTTCTTGGAGTTTAACAGCTAAAAATTTCAGATTCTTTCTACCCTGGGCACACTCCCAGCCACAGGCTGAGGAAGACTGTCCCTGAAATTTCTGTGCTGGGCTCAGAGCTAGGCACCAGAACTGAGAGCAGGGAGCCTGCCTGTCTTGTGCTCTCAGTACCTCCCCGTGTGGATTCCTGCAACATGGAGGAAGAAGCTGCCTGATTCAAATGCAGTGGTGGGGAAAGAGTTGGTCCTGCAAGAATAGGGGGAGCAGATTAGGACAAGTTGGGAGACTGTTGTGGGGAAGAGACTGGGACTGGAGGCTAGTGAGGGGGAAAGAGGGAAACTGGTACTGGCTGAGCAAGGAGACTGTGACTGGGAGCCAGGAAGAGAAACAGGATGGGCTGGGAACCAGTGGGGGGTACTGACATTGAATGAGGAACTAGGGGTGGAGGGCTGGGAACTGGTGTGGAAGGGCTGATGAGGAACCAGTGTGTGGTGAGAACTGTTCCTGGCTGAGCAAAGAGATTGGGATAATGAACTTGGGATGGGAGGGAGGCACTGAGTGGATGAATAGTTCAGGAATGGAGACTGGGAACCAGTGGGACTGGGGAGCATGGGGAGGAGGCAAATTGGATGAACTGGGAAAGGGAGAACTGAGACTGGCTGTGCAAGGGGACTTGGGAGTGGCAGGGGGGAAGAAGGACTAGGAATTGCATGGGGATACATTAATTTGTATTCAGCTTGGTGCTGAGTTCTTTTATTCAATCTAGAGAGATTGCTCTGTTTATTTGGTGAAATTTTAGAAAGATTGTCAAGGTAACCTAGAATAGTGGCTGGGTGCTGTTTTATTATCATTTTTAGAAATTAAACAAAATACTGCTTGAGATAAAAGACAAGCTGCATTAGCGTGAAGGTAGTAGCAGACTCATAAACCTGTGTGTCTAGCCACTAGAGGGGAATAAAGAGCCACACAATTAGAGGGTAATGCGCTAACCAGTGCAACTTATCCTGATCTTCAAAGGTTCTCAGCAGTTCTAATCCCCATATGGGTCACCACTTGTAATTATGCCCTCGAGGTTATGGTTACCATCCCGACATTTGCAACACAAGTGATAAGGACTCAAAGAATAGTCAGAATATCCATGGTGAGGACTATAAATTAGTTCTCCTAAAGGGACACCATAAACTTAAAGACAGGTTTCAGAGGAACAGCCGTGTTAGTCTGTATTCGCAAAAAGAAAAGGAGTACTTGTGGCACCTTAGAGACTAACCAATTAAAAGTTAGTTTTAAAAAGAGTTAAGAACTCTCTGCTGAATTTTATGGCTTTACAATTATTTTCTTGTATTTTAAAATGTCTTTCCTGTTTTGCAGTGTGACAAATCCATAAAAACTGGGAATCTGATTTAAGTGAGCGTACTGAGGACTTATTAAAATGGACTGTTTACAAAGTGCTGTCAAATGCACAACGTAAACGGGGGGGAGGGGAATGAGAAATATTTTTTCTCTCCAGTCTTTCACTTAAACTGATTTCAGGTGTTTACTCACTGACAGTGCTGCAAGTTGAGTTTTCACAGTGAAATATGTGGTTTTATGCTGACAATATTCCTTTAGAGTAATAAACTCCCTTTCTGCAAACAAATGAGGTATGTACCTGCTATACATCCATGTACAAATATTTGGTGGTTCAGTGCCTAGCTCAGATACAAGCGAAACAGTAAGCACTTAAGTAGTTTAATCATAATGGAGTTAGGGCTTCATGCTGCATGATACTGAGCATTTCTTGCAAGGTGCTGAACACCACCTACTCTTATTGAAGTCAATTGGCGCTGAAGGTGCCGAACACCTCCCTGGAAGTACTTAGCACCTTGCAGGATTCAGTACCTGAATCAAGAAGGTAAACTTCACTCAATTGCATCATCAGCTTGGTGTTTACAAATGTCTCTCTTGGGCCTGTGAGTGATTTGGGCATCTGTTTAACCTCCTAACCAAATGCTAATTTCCATCCTGTACACAAAATCCTGGAAATGGTTTTGGATTATGAAATAACTATCCCTTTCCCCTTGACAGTGGACTTGTTCTTTATAAGTACAGTAAAGCAAATGGCCTTTGATATTTATTTGCCAGGATTCCTTTCTAAACCATTAGCCGTCTGGGCCTCAACACATATTTGCTTTAGTTTTAGCTTTTGATTGTTGCCAGACATTGTAGGCAAGTGGAGAAAAGTGCATGTTCTATGCAGCTGCCAGATGTATCAGGTTCTTCACATGGAGGCATTGATGAGCCAAGCGAACATTACCACATTCCACTCTAGCTTAGAGCTGCAGCAGCGGAAGGGTTAAGGCACATATGCCAAAGAGGGAAAGTGGAAATAAAGGTTTGTTTCAGGAACTGCAATGTTTAAACATGAGCCGGCAAGAGCCCTTTGGCCTTGCACCTGTTTCCTGCTAGTTGAAAGACTGCATACAAATAACAATAAACTGTACTATCTGAAGTCTGAATGCTTGACAACTGAGTGAGTAGTATAGGTGGAGGGAGGATTCTCGGGAGTTGCGTGTCAGGAAGACCAAGATAGCAATGTTTCCTTTATCACTGTGCATTGTGAGTGAATAAATTGAAAAGGGGAGTGCCGTTGGTTGCCATTGAACTTAAGAGCAAATGCTAGAATTATTTTCTTTTATTTCAGTAAAATAAACTTTCCTATATGTTGTTTATGCACAGAACTTAATATAAATGACTTCTATGGGTTAGGGTTCCCTCCAACTCGGTTTATTCAGAACACCTCATCCAGTTCTGGGAGAATGCTTTATCCAGTTGTCTGAAATCCAAGCAATCAATTCAACTCCAGACTCATCACTGAGGTTTCTTTATTGGCATGCATACAAACAAACTACACTTGAGTTGATCAGGTTTGACCAAGATAGAGTTTTTTCCTTTCCCCCCACAAAGGAAAGTTTTTCCTTTCCTTCATTGTAGGGGACCCTTGTTAATTTTTTTACCTTGATGTCATCTCTATTGTACCAAATTTTTAACTTTTCTGTGGTGACAAGAGAGTTCAAGTTTCTTGCTCCTTATTACTTAACGGTTGGTTATACTTTTTGTATGTTTTCTCCAAATACTACAGATAAGGTGTCATTTTAATTTGCAGACTGAGGTAAAGAGAACCTCTTTTCTCAGTGGCATTGTTTCTGTTCAGTTTGCGGCTCTAAGCCACATGCTTCCACTGCAGCGTTTATTGGTGTAAATAAGGGAGGAAAGAGTGGGGAGGATACACAGTTCTCAGTTTTGTTTTGAGGGACTGGCTCAGAGCCACAAAGTACTTAGGCACCTAAGTCCCAGTTTTGGCTCCACTGCAATTCACAAAACTCCTGCTAAATCTCCTGGTACACAGCTAATCTTACTTGATGCCTACACTTTCAGAGTAAAAGTTCCTTAAGTGCCTATGTTTCTGCCTCTGAGTATTTGCACTGCTGCCTCCCTCTACATGTCTGGATGCCTAAACCCCAGAGCAAGTCACAACCCAGAGGAACACAGGTGTTTGTTCATGTGTTCCACTGTGAATAAATACTTAAATTGTCATT